ACCCAACTGTTGGGTTAAATTTTGGTTACATTTTTAAATGAGCTTTTTAACCCAACAGTTGGGTTAGTCCATATTTGACCCAACATTGGGTTGAAACAACCCAGCATTTTTTAGAGTGTAATAACAGCTTTTTTTATGTTTGTTTGTTTTTTATACCTGAACGAGAATAAATTATCATTGACTCTCCATTCGTAACTGTTTTCTGTTAAAATTGAGTGCTGCAACCCTTGTTCCTTCTATAGAACCATCAAGCTGCTGTTTACATCCAATTTCATGAATCATTTGATACATCAACAGGTTGTGCTTTTTATGTAACTCATTTTAGCATTGCACTCATTTCATTTCACACACTGTAACTGTTTCCACGGAGATTCATTCATGTTAATGCCTGTGAGTAAATGTTAAGGATATTGTTATATCAGCCAGTCAGTCACAAAATTAGCCCTGGCAGTGTGATCAGGCCCCCAGAAAGGTTTCAAATAACCCAGAGGGTTTATTTTGTTATAAGTACCAGCTGACTATACATTATCCTGCTAATTAAATGGCTTCTTACCAAATAATGTACAACAGCAATCAATTTTTGGGGTCCAAGCACATGTGTGAATAACATAATTAAAATGGCAAAATTTGAAAAAGAAGGTCCTGCTTAATTGTTTTAATGTGCCATTTTAAAATTCCCTGATCAAAGCAGCAAATCTTTAACATTAAAAATTAATGAAATTTGACATGTATACTTGCATTGTTTTATTGTACCTCATATACAAAGACAATGCATGTGCATTCACAAAATACAAACCAATTATAACTTTTTGTTTTGAGTGTGTCTAGATATGAAGCAAACTGAATGAAAACTGGACACACTATCTGAATGACAAGTTCAAAAAAGTAAGTTTTGGCAACACTTTAATTTAGGGACCAATTCCCAGTATTTACTAGTTGCTTATTAGCATGCATATTACAAGCATTTTGGCTGTTTGTTAGTACTTATAAAGCACATGTTAATGTCTTATTCTTTTAGATCCCTTAATCCTACACCATGCCTAAACTTTACCTAAAATGGTTTTGATGCTTGAACCCCTAAAAAGTAAATGCACAAGAAATTATGCAACTAGTTGAGTAATAATCAGGGTTATATTCTACCTACCCGCACACCCATGAAACGATCCTTGAGGACAATCCACGACAAGAGGAAGACAAAGGCCTTGTGGCAGCAGTAGAGTGCTGAGACGTCTGTAGCGGTTAGTTTTCTCAGTGCTAACAGGTACAGGTAGTTAGTAAGCGTCCACAAGATGGAGAAAGGCGCCGTTCTCTTCAGAAACACCATCAGAGACATTCCGTCCTCCCCAAACAACCGACTACATTCCCTACACAGTGAAATAAGAAGCAATAAAGGTTTTTGTTGTTTGCTTACTTTGATAATGAAGCACTGTAGCCTACTAGTGGCTTAGCCTAGAAACTGAAGGTTTAGTTTGGTAACCAAAAGGTTGCAGATTTGAACTCTGCAAGGGGTTATCTGTGGGCTAGTTAAAGGTTCAAACCAGATTTGATGTCAGTGATGGCAAACGCTGGTTCTCAGGTGTTTTGTAACCAATCGTAACATGCCAATTTGAAATATTAAGTTAAGTACAAATGAACCTAACTCCAGGTCCATGCCAAAAGCTTTAGTGTGAAAGACACTAGAATTGTTCAACACAATCTAATGGCAGTTTGTGACTACTTGACGAATTGGTGGCAAAATTATATGCATTCGTATAATCTCATTCATAAATGTTCATATGGTTACGAAACAATTTTCGTATGGTTATGGTAAACCTCCCCTGATGGTTAGCTTTAGCGGTGGACCTTCAAGATTAGTCTAGTTTTTTCTTTTCCTAAAAATTGTACATTTGATTCATATGAAATTCATATAAAATCACCAACATGTAAAAAAAAGAAGCTTTTTCATGAGATTGAGTTGGAACTAATCCTTGTAATGAATTGCCACTTGTCACTCTTTTTTACTTGTCACCTTTTTTTTATACAATTGCAATTAAATGGAGACTAAAAGCTCCTTAAAAAAGGATCCAAAAAGACAATTTAATTATAATAGTGGTCCTTATGGCTAGGTGCTTTTATATAGACATACAATATACTTGTGTGTGGAATAAACAAAAAATGTATACATTTTTCTCTAAAACTCACAAATCTCCTTGTTACATTCATGAGAAAAGTAGCAATGTTCAGTTTGTCTAATAGATGAATTGGTTGCTCTAGTTCACAAAACCATTCTGAATGAGTCGCTCATGAATTTGACTGAACCGTTTGTACTGTACTCTTGCTCTAATGCAGGAATGGGCGACTACTATCCTGCAGAGTTTAGCTCCCCAATCAAACCTGGAAAATCTAACTTGTAGTTGAGGTATACCTATGATGAAAATTACAGGCCTCTCTCATCTTTTTAAGTGGGAGAACTTGCACAATTGGTGGCTGACTAAATACCTTTTTTCCCCACTGTATTTCAGATTAGAGCTAAACTGTTGTGCAGTGGAGGGCCACTTTCCTGCTTTAGGGAAACTGTAATAGGTGTACAGTACATTGCATTGGATGAAAGTGTCAGCTAAAGAAAAAAAAAAAGTAAATGTTTCATTTTTACAAGTTTGCTGTTATTGTATTTCCTACACAAAGTTCTGCTTTTCACATGACATCATAATCCACCAGATTCATTCATTCTAACTTTACCTGAATTTCTGAATGGGCGTCTGTTTTTCTCTGGTAGTGGCCATGTGCCCAGAATAGTAGAGGGGGAAGAAGAGAATGTTCCAGTTGGTGCTGAACCATGTGATGAAAAAGGGACAGGAAAAGGATTTGAATGTGAGCTGGACCACTTGTGTGATGCCCACCCAGCACGAGGAGACACACAGCACCACCAGCAAACCGCCCAGCACCTTGAGCACTGTGTTGACGCAGGTCTGATATGCAGTGCCATCTCCACTTGTTTCACTGACTGGAGTCTCTGCATGTGATTCTGTGCCGTCCTCTCCTGCAACACACAGATCAGTATTGCACCATTACAGCACACAATATACTTCCTTGTCTCATTACATCCCAGGTAATAAAATTGGATTATGAAATTATTTTTTATTCTGCACACTGTTCTGCAGCTCCAACTGTGTTTAGCGTACATATTCTAGTCATGGGATGATAAAAGTGCGTCTATATACATATACATGTTAGCTAAATTCATGACCTTAAAGTGCATTATTATGAAAATGTATAATGTTCAGATTTGAACCTGTGTCCTTTTGAAACACACACACACGCACTGGGTTTTACTACCAAATTAAATGTAACATCTAATTATTATAATATTTAATTTACACTGGAAAGGTTTCTGCAACATTGTGGGAATTTATTTCCAGAACATGATGCATGATGTGATCTGCGCTTTGGCATTTTTAAGACCCGGGTCAGTCTTGCGCACTTATTTCCTGTTGAATGCACGCTCTCCAAGACCGCAAGTGTGGATATTTGGACAGACCCAGAAAACTTCTTAAGCCTTTACTTCGGTTTTACATGAGGGTCCGCGTACAGTGCATGTGATGCAAATTTCACCAGAATAGTACTAGTGTACTGTACCACCTGGTTTTTGTAACTGTGCATGCTTTGCACGTCCAGGTCGCACATGCACATTGAATTTGTTTTGCACAAATCAGTTGTTCCACAACACTGAGTTATGAGAGAGACACAGCTTTAGTTTAAAAGAGTACAAATATATTTTTAACGCTCATAACTTCTGGAGAAAAATATTGCAGACACAGGACTAAGATGAAGCTTTCTAGTGTTGACTGCCTGTGTTCGTGCACGCTATCAAATGGAGTATACTTTGAAAGGATGCACTTTTGACTGTATGCATAGGCTAGCGTATGCATACAAACACAAAGTATACTTTGGGCTTTAGTTTGAAACTGAATGAGCCCATGTTAAAACCGAGTAAAAAGAGCAAGTGAATTAAATAACCAGAAACTTTTTGAATATTGCTGAAAATAAAACTGAGCACAGGGTTAAGCTGTACTGCTGTTGACTGCCACAACAACAGCAACAAACTGAGGGAATTCCTGGAAACATTTGAGCACCAGCACCTTTTTATATATAAAGAGAACTACTAATGTGAGTCCTCACTTGAGTTTACATCACATTAAACATGCCTTTAGGTGTAAAACATTTAAAAACAAACTTGACATCTTTAAGGTCGGCAAATCGCCTATCAGGTTAACAGAATATTCAGTATTCCAAGACAAAAACAACTGCCAGCCTCATCTACTGAACTGTGAATGAATACTATTCCTTAGTTGCTTTGCAAGCACTATTTACTGCAAGAAACGCAAATATACTTTAACTTTGCTCTACTTTCTTTCTGTTCGTACCTGCGGTAGAACAAAAACATTCTGTCCCTGTCTTTTATTTGGTCAAATATTGGAACACAGTATTACTGGCTATTTTTAGACAGGGTTAGGAAATGCTAATTATGTGCTTTGTTGACGGGTTTTATTCATGAGAAATTCACCAACACTTCCTTGTGCGACTGCCCCTGATGTTTCTCTGTGGTACGCACGGATGTATCGATCAGTAGCTGTGAGTGTCAGTTACCTGCAGGTGAAGCACTAAAGCTGGACAGTGTTTGAAATCTGCCTACGTTGCACAGACAAGCCTCTGTCAAAAATAGCTCCACGGGGTCATGGAGAAGCACAGAGACCATTCAGATATAATGGGATATACATAGAAACTCGACACCACAAGGCGCCCATCAAAAAAAAAAATCTGCCAATCAGAATACATCCTGTCTGTCATCAGTCATGACCTCCTTCAAAGAAACTGTACTGACAACATTACACCTCAGTATGCTGAAGATAGATGGGGGTGATGGGAGATTGAACAGAGGGGAAGGGCGCTAGTATCACAAAGCCAAGATCCGTTATGCTGTAGACTCAGAGTGATCAATTTACACTAGGCCAGGAATAAAAGATGACATGCGCTGGCCCATGGTCACTAGCATAGTGTGCTGGGTCAGCAAGCACGTCTACACACACACACACACACACACACACACACACACACACACCACTTTGTTGTTGGGATCCTGCTATCAAGCCATGGATCTCACCCTGACTGAAATACAGGGGAAAAGACTTTATGATGAAAATTATGTTTTGAAGCTGTAAATATAACAAAGATTACTGGAGTATGTTGTACAAGAATATACCATTTTAGTCTTTCTACTTCAAAATGTCATGTTTAATTCAATGTGTTACTTGTGGTTTCTTTGTAATAATTTTTTGAGTGTTTTATGGTTAATGTGTTTAGGTCAATGGCATAATGTGTTAAAAAAAAACACAAAAAAACGTGATTCAATACAATAATTTGAATACACATTTCATATGGCAAGATGTACTGATATCATAATGAAGGGAAAAAAACTTTTAAATTAATTAAAAATTAAATTCTAGAAAAGAAATGTTTTGCATATTATTTTATTTTACTATTATTATTATTTTAAACTTTTATTGATTTGCATTGTACTATTGCCAAACATATGTCCACCAAATCACATGTGGTGCAACATGCAAAGGCATGCAAAAAAACAGACATAAAACAGGAAATAAAACCCCCAAAGACTCTCTTGATGTGTGTCAAGCTCTATGAGTCTCTTAAAGGGGTCATATGATAAAGGAGGGACTTTGTAGAAAACGAAGCGTTTGAGAGAGGCGGGGCATAGAGGACCTACAATAATGTACAGTATTTGAAAAATAATGTGTTTTTTGAACATTAAAGCATGTCAACATATTCTGTTACACCAAATACACAAAATAATGATCTTTAAAAAAGCATCATATGACCCCTTTAAAATATATAATTTGACATTTTTTATAACAAGGCATGATGTGTTTTCAACTAAAAACTGAACACTTTTGATGTGATTTGGCCATTCATTTACAGGACAATGGTGTTTTGGGGGCCTGATAACTGACACTTTTGAAAACAGGTTTCAGGTTCAGGTTTCAAGTTTTTAAAAATGATAGCGTTATCACAAATGTGCAAATTTCAGAAAATGGTAACGTCATGTATGTGCATATTACGTGTTAAGTCTATAGGAATATTGTACACTCACATATTCAAGATATAAACAAAATATTTGACATTTTAAGAGTCATTAAATTCAACAAAAGTTTTAGAATAATACACATAAAGATTATATAAATAATAATATACATAAGGATTTTTAGCTTTTTTCATATGCCATTGACCTCTTTATGCTCAACAGTGCGCCAATGTCTGATTCGATTCTAACTTTATAAAGTTATAATATTCAAAATGATGGTATGTTGTTCTTGTAGTTTCCATGTAGTTGTCTTGTTGGCTTTTGAAAATAAAGGTATTTTAATTGATAGCATTATAGAAAGGCATGAAGGATACTTCAGGGAACAGTAAACAAGACACAGACCTCATTTTGCATTATTGATCGTTCATATTCATACTTCATATGCCTTTCACCTTTCAGACAAAAAGGTACGTAAATTCAAAGATGTTTAAAGAGCCTAAATGAGATCCTACAACACCAATATTCTGCCCAGTGAGTAGCCACAAACCTGCTTTAATAAATCTCATTTCACCTCAATGCTTTATTAAATAACTTAACCACAAAGCTACCTGATGTTCTAATAATACAAGCCAATGTTCACACTAAACAAACATGAACATGGCCACAGGGACCCCAATAGAACTTTAATCAGGAATGAACTACAGCTAACAAACACCTAAATATTAAAAAATGGATTCTGAATTGAATTTTTTTATTTTGAAATGAATTATGCATCAGAAACATCTAGATAATATATATATATAGTATATTCATTTAAGTGTATACAGTTTTACCATCACTTTAATTGAACCCCTTCAATTTTTTTTGTCCTATGGTGTGAGAAATAACCTCAATAAATATGAAATGTATGTATAATATTTATATATGAATCAGTTATAAAAATACTATTATTTTATAGAACAAAGATACTGCAGTCTTACTCAACCTTGCATTGTAAAAATACACAGTCCTTATAACATCAAGAGTTATAAGCAAAAAGTTATGAAATTGTGACTCCAAGACATACTTCAAATATGAGCACCTCTGTCCTGTCTGATGTTGAGCAATTCCAGATGTTTTTGACCCAGTTGCAACTAAACCACAACTCAACTCACATGATGTCCTTTTTAAAGGTAAAATAAAAAACCTACCTGACAACTTTTTAGACATATTTTATAGTGAAAAAAGGGCTCCCACAGTGTGCACCCACACTGACAGACTTTTTATATCCTGCGGATAGCTTGGCTGGCTAGCTTAACAACCTGCAGAAACCAACAACACCAGGGAACCGCAGGTCCAAGATGTGGAGGCACAGAAATGTCACATCAACGGTAAATCCCTGGTTTACCGCCCCTACATATTTTCACAGCGCGGCACAAAATGCTATTGTTATTTTACAGCAGCAAGATTCATAAGCATAATTTTACAACAAGACATTTGAAGGAGGAACTGGTAATATGATGAGCTGTTTGGTTGTCGACATGTTATGTCAAGCAGTGATGCCAAAACTATTTATTTAAAATAATTATTATTTTATCAGTTTATGACCTTGTTATATATTTGTACTTTTAAAATAACCCCAAAAATAAATCTGTCAAAATGTAAATTCTGTCACCCCATATCAAAACAAAACATGAAATAATGAAAATAAACACTGAAAACTAATTAGCAGTGCTGGCTAATGTGCCTTCTTTTACCTTTGTATATACAGGTATTTATGAAGGTTTAACACTTTACAAAAATATTTCATTTGTTGACATTAGTTAACTACTTAAGTTAACATGATCTAACAATGATCAATAATTCTACAGCATTTATTAGTTAATTAAATGCTAAATTTAATTAACTAATAAATGCTTAGTTAATTTTATGTTTAACATCTACTAATACATTTTTAAAATTTA